CCTCCTGTTCCTTCCCTCTTCGTCCTATTCCTGCAAACCCAAACACTAACAAAGTGCTCAGCCTGCTGGAAAGAAAGTTTGGGCACTAGCCACGCAGGTAAGAAGTAATCAGGATGACAAGGTGGGGAAAAAAGGAACAGCAGCAAGCCGGAGCCCCATTGGCTTCCGCTGGTCCTGGCTGGCAAGAGCAGAAAGCAGGCCTCAAACCAGCTCTCTGACAGGGCCCAACGCCTCGGCAGCACCCCCGTGTAATTACACACTTGAGTGACTGGACTCTGAAGAAAATTGAAGGCCTGAGCTCCGAACAGCTGCCATTTTCTCTCTCCATCACACCAGCGTGATTACTTGAGAAATGAACAGCCCCGGCTCAAAGCTACTCCAGAATTCTCAGAGGAAATATGGCTCCGTGTTCCAATAATGAGATTCTTAAGGCAAGCGTTACTTACAATCACTCCGCAAAAGGAGCGAGCCGAGCCCCTATATCTTACAAATTAGAATTTAAGAAACCCAGCGACAGTCTTGGACGATCATTACTCTTCTGCTGCTCCAAGGATTCTGGGCTTTGGTCTATTTTTAGTGCAGAAAACTGTTAAGTCCTTAAAAAGGTAATCATAATAAAATGAAAACTCACTATAATTAGCTTCCTAAAAAAAGGCAAATTCCACCCCATTTTAGGGTCAAACTGACAGATTCCTCCACTCCCTCATCGTTACCCTTTCTGCCAGAAAGTCTTGGCTTTATCCAAATGAGAATTAGCAATCTTTGCATTAAAATTAAAAAAAAAAAATCTAACTAGTCTGAGATTTCTTCCATCTTTTGATTGAGAGGAAAAAAAATCAGTCAAGTTGCCACAGATAATATCACTTCTTTGTCAAAACCTGTCACTTGGGGAAACTGAAATATTAAATAGTGCTGATATATATTTTTTTCCTTTCAAATTCATCTCCTGGTTTCCCCACCATCTAGCCATTCTAGGATAGCAAAGGTAATGAACTCTCCCTGCAATTAGATACTTTTAAAAGTGGGCATTCTAAAAAAATGTTATATCCTCGAGAGTTAACCAGCTAGGCAGATAACTGAAAGTACTGCTGTTGCTAACCAGAGATGTGAGGTAGTAGATAGTTTCCCTTCATTCTGAACTATAAAATAAAAAACAGCAGTGAAGATGTATAGTTTTTCCCTCCAAGAAGGAAAGATGGAATTAAGGTACCAAAAATGCCGATTCCACAGTGGGACAAGAAAGGAAACTCTAGAAGCCCAAGGCACTCTAGTCCCCCCAAAAATACACACATGCAGGAGCAAGGCAATTGTTCATAGGGTGGGGGACTCTAAGAACAGCCCTATTGTTCTCTGACTCCTAGCATTAACTCAACCAGAAAAATCTAAGAGGGAAGGACTTACAAATCACCTTTAAAAACCCCTAAGTCCACTAAAATTCTACCCACTAGTCAAATGTACGTGAGTCCTGTTCACATCTACTAGTCTCACCTCTCATTCCCACTTTCTACTAACTCTCATACTACTAGGTTATAGGGACAAAAGGATGTATCTACTCCCCAAACAATACTCTTACCTTAGATTTCCATGTAAATAAAACAGAAAGGGACCAAGAAGATGCAGAATAATTTAAATGTCTTTCTTGGGGGGGGCGGCAGTACTGGATATCTAACAGTTGTTTTTTGCTTTTAAGTTTTGGACATGAGAACCATTGCTGATATTCATGGAACAAATAAGAGTTATAATGAAAACGTACATGGGCTGGATAGACTAAATTTTAAAGCTCCTGTCGCAAGTGACAGCAGGAATGAAGCAGCACAGGACATCTCCAAGTAGAGTCAAGAGATTTGAGTTCCTGTGCATGACTATATGCATATCAGTCAGATCAGTTCTTTCCTGACTGGAACAGTTTCCTTCAGGTCAAGGACACAGGCAGATGTGAGAAATTGTTAATCCACAACCCGAGCCCCACTTGGCCCACAATTATAAAAGACAGGAGCTTTTCCTCTGACCACAGCCATCAGAAGGAGTAATAGTTTTTCCATATCATTAACCATCCTCGCAGGTTCTGAAAAACTACTCACAATAAGCATTGTGACCAGAAGATTCTTCTTGGTGACCTGGGCGTGAGAGAAGATATAGTTCAGTACCGCGTTCATGTCACTCTTATTCTCCTCCCGAAGGGCAAACACACATTTTTCGTAGTGACCTGCAAGCAGCAAAAAGAATTGGTCCTCACCCATGTATGAATGTTCACATTCACATGCTATTTGCTTTTTAATGTCTATGATTCACCTGATAAGCTGTGAGAAGAAACATCTTAAGAATTTTCTTGGAGGAATCTGGACACAACTGGAAGTGTGGTTTAGTCAAAGGAACACTGGACTAGAAGTTAGGCAATCTGATATAAGACCTGAGCTCAAAGCCTAGCTCTGCTGCCAATTTATTATGTGCTCCTGGGAAAATCACTTTACCTCTCTGAGTCTGATTTTCATTAAAAAAGAACTGAGAGGTAGAGGAGGGTGTACCAAGAGACTAAGGGATTGGGAATAACTCCAACCCCCTACCCTTACTATAAACTCTCTCATTTAGCTTCCTGGAAAGATTTCTTTACAAAAGAGAGTTCTGCTGCTTAAAATGGAATGTCAATACCATTAAACCCGATGATCTTTAAAGCCTACTCCAAGTTAAGATTCTGTTTCCATGTTTGACTCACTGAAAACGTTTCACCTAACTAGAAGGAAGAGTTTTAACTAAAAATAAAACCACGCAAACTTATCAAAAACCACAAGAAGGATGGCTGCTACCTCCGGAGTCAACTCCCTTGTAAGTCCATGAAACAGCTAAGAAATGCATAGGAATTCCAGATCCAAACTAAGGCATGGATCAAGGAGAACCATGCATTAAGTCAAAAGGTCTGCAGGGAGAGCACTTTTGTATATTTCCACAGGCCTTTCATAAGGTCACCAGGGACAGGTTACTTCTGGCCAGGGACACTATGTTTTGCAAGAGAAGCATAAGCTTCAGGTATACTGTAGTGATATCTACCATGGGATATAAGTAATAGTCACTTCTTTAGGAAAAGCTTACTTCAAAATTAAATTTCCAAGTAAAAGAGAATTAGTATTTGAGTAGTCTCAAGGGTGAGAATTTTATGAAATCATGAAAATACTACATGATTATCGCCTCAATTCAGATTCCATGTTAGATTACAAACAAAAGAGTGCCACTCAAACTACATTACCATGAATTCCTAGAATACTGAGTATATTCAACCAGAGCAACTCTGCTTTTACCTGTTTTAAATATTAAATATTGATGTAAGATTTTCTTTTAAAAATAAAACTAAATATATTGGGAAAACAGTGGACTACTATATCTAAAGAGCTGCCAATTTCATAAAAGACCCATTTAGAACAAAATGGAAGCTGTTTAAAAATCAGATATCCTATATAAATTCATTTCTCCCAATCAAGACTTCTTGGTAAGAGGAATTACTGGGACCAAGGGAAATAAAAAGAATATTTACCCAGGTGAGAGGCAGCAGATATACTAAGCCAGGGGTGGGGAACCTTTTGTCTGCCAAGGGCCATTTGGATATTTATAACATCATTTGTGAGCCACACAAAATTATCAATTTAAAAATCAGCTATGAAAAAAGCTCCTACATTTATTGAATTTTGAGTCCCACCTGCAGTTGCCTCAGCAGGGCCAGACCAAATGATTTCAGCACCCCCTGGGCCAGACGTTCCCCACCCCTGCTTTCAAGGATGTAAAGGGAGCAAAAAAGATAAAAGAAAATGTTAGTTAGTATTTCAAAGTATATGGTGTTTCAATGCCATCTTGTGGCAGGAAGCAGTATCAGCAGTACGTAGCTTTAAAATCTTAGCCAGATTTTACATTTTCACATTTGGAGACTTTATACATCATTTAGTGAAGCTCTTCAGAGAAAGCCAAGGATAAATTCCACCTAAATGATACATTGAAAAGTAGTGGAAAATCTGAACCTTTTTCAGATGCCTGTGGTTCAATCCATGGATTAGCTGCTGAGAGCCAAGCTCTTAAGATAGGGTTTCTCAATTTCACCCTGGTCATGATTCAACCAACTCTCTCTAGACAAGGTCAAAAAGACATCAACAGGGAATGCTAATCTCTACTAGAAAAATTATCTCAGTGCTTTCCAAGAAGCACATGGATTCACAATCTCATCAAGCTGTGTTTTGTTGTTGTTACCTCCTTGGTAGTAATGGGATACAGAGGTTTAATTTTTAAGAGAGTAGTGAAAGGAGGAAGCGTTTGTTATGTGTTAGCAATGGCAAGTGTTAGCGAAAGGAGGAACTGGCTCAGCTGTTGCACAGTCCTATAGGGAAACATTCTCAGATTCACAGTCCTCAGGAAGAGGCTTACCGTTCTGGAACTGTGTCTCTACTCGCAGGTACTGCCGCAGCAGATCCATCACCACAGCCTTCATGTGGCCTCGGATGCCACTTCGGTACCTAGGCAAACAGAACAAGTCTCCACTGAAAAACCTGACAAGCTAACACTATTAATAACAGACTATTAAATAATAAACCCAGAGCCCAGTAGACTTTCCACTGAATGGCTTTCCCTCTGAATATATGGCAGGACGGGGCCAGTCTAAAATCAACTAACCAGATTAATTCAAATCCCAAGCCTAAAAGAAATCTGGCTACAGGCAAGATTTCTTAATAAAGCAAAACAGAAAAAAGATGAACAAAAACCAAACCAAAACCCACTTGATAGCCCTACCTAACAATACTCTGGTTTAGATCCCACCACTAAGTAGAAATGATCACCACACCCATGAAATGGCTAAGAGATATATGAAAAATTTACAAGTATCTTCCTTTAGTCCAATTGTTGGCTCCATAAGCTAAGAAAAGAAATGTTACATTGGGCCCTATGCCAGAAGAAAAATTGGGGGTTTCATAAAAAATGCAAGAAAAAATAAAATGAAATTTCTGTGCCTTAATAATTGTCAGCAAGATGTAGAATAGAAAGAGGTTATCACAAATATTGAGTATAACAGCTCACAATTCTAAGATATTTAGAAGATATAAGGTATTTTCTATGATATAAATGCTTTCTAATTTATCTAAGTCAAACCTGAAGTACATCTCTTTGTGACTACTTAGAAGGAAGGTGTGAGGATGAGTAGGTCTGGGAATCTGGAGTTACATGTAACTACCTCTGCACCAGCTGGACAATGCTCTGAGTGTTCATGAAGAAGACTTCCCGTTCAGATTTCCGGTTCAGTGTAGCTGCATGGCTATCTAGGATGTTGGCAATCTATAGCATAAGAAAGAGAAAAAAATGAAGCCCAACCCAACAAAGGGGCCCAAAGCATTAACCTGTATAACATCACCACTTGGAATCAACTTAATTATGACATGATAATTTCTATCTTTTATACGTTTGGGAGCAGCTAAAAGTTACTGGGCATGGTTTAGGGCTTGTGTTAAATAAGCAAGCAACCTTTATTTCTTTTCACTCTTTCCCAGATGAACTAATGAGTGCATCACAAAAACTACCAGAGGCCATGACAAGCAAGAAATGCCAAAGGTAATCCCCACTTGCCTAGCTCTACTCCTTACATGTAAATTTGTTTTATAGGCAAAGGATAAACATGCTGCTGAGGTGATAAAGATGTTTTTGATAATAAAACTCTGAATATCCTTCTACTTTAAATTCACAAAAATACCTCTGATTAGGGTATAGTCCCAGGAACAAACCTCTGTGGTGTACACAGGCAATATCCTTTTCTCATAACCACAGATACTTTACATGTCACATACAGTACTTTAATTACTGGGCTTGTATTCTGAGGCAGTTTTTTGAAGGACACAATGCTTAAAACTGTAACAGCACAACATCCAGATAGTAAAGAGGAGCCAAACAGGAAAGAATCCTACAACATGAACTCCAGAATTGGGAGCCATTAGAAGTTGATAGTGTTGCTCTATAAATACCTGCTGGCTGGGAAATTGACAGAGGACAGATGTGATGTTGCTAGCATACTGAGCCATTTCCTTCTTGATAGACTTCTCCACGTTGGGGGGGATGCGGCCAGAGACACTGGTCATGATATCTTGCAATTCTAGGAGAGGTAAGGAGGGATCTCTGAGGGTCTTCATCAACCGCTCTACCCAGTCTTTTACCTAAGAAGAAGGAAATAACAAAATAGGAACCAGACAAAATTAACACAATAAATAAAATGATATATCCAAATTCACTATCATACAGTAGTTACTTTGAAATTGCAATAAACACATCTAACACTGCCCTTGTTCTCTGGTTTAATTCCCAATGTGAAGTCAATGACGTGGATAAGCAGCAAGGATTTAAAGACTTCAAATCCCACAACTAAAGGGGAAAGAGGTCCATCTAAAAAAATCCTTATGCAACTTTTAAACTATCTTGGAGAACAGGTGCCTTACCTTATCTGTACATCCCTTCCCCAAGACAAGTGATTCATACCCTGCTGCTAAAGAAAGGATCTGGAAGGCAGTATCCATTCATCACGTTGACCAGATTATCCAGGACATAGTGGAACACTCGATGGAGCTTCTCGCCTCTGAGTGCTGTGCTCTGGATTTGTGGCAGACTACCCGTGTGAAGCTCAGCCTGTCAACCCCAATGAGAAATCAAGTCATCCACTACCCTTCTATGCAGGGTGCAAATATACCATCGAAACTTAGAATCATCATTCAAAAATCAAGACATCCCTTCACCATTCCCAGCTATGAGGAAATAAGTCAATGGAGAAAGCACCACGAAAAAAAAAAATCATAGAATCTCATAATCATAGTAACTCTACTTTCATAATAGTATAAGCACAAAAATAAGGCATAAGATGGGGGGGGAGCTTAAGAAAAACTGGCAAACCAAGCATTGAAATCATTTGCCCCTTCAAATTACCCCTATCATGTAATTAGCTCTTAGAATGCAATATTAAAAGCCCCTTCCTACTTACCTGCTGGACCTTGGTGGGGTTATCCAATTGCATTTTGGCTATTACACAGCCAGGGTCAAGAGCTGCTCCAGGCCGCTTGACATAATGAATACAGCCAGACTCAACAGCTGTTAAGGTCATTACCATCTTCATCACCTATAATAAAAAACAAATAAAATTAGAATTTAATCTCTCTTTACACAGATGAATGATTTAAGGAGGTCAGTTTTTCCCTCATCATCTAAGTTGGACTGTTATCTTATTCAATCCAGAAAAATGGAAATCTATCACAATCTCCAAGAGACTACCGAGGACAGCAATTAGAAAATCTCTCAGGATCTAGCTTTAGGGATTAATGACACCTACTGACATTTCTTGCTTTTAATGCTTAAATCCATTTTGCCATAGTTTGTTTTCACTTGTTTTGTACTTAGGAGTGATGAACAATTCAGCCTCTTCATAGCCTCAGATCTAACATAAGATACTCAGGCTAAGACCTAAGAGTCATTCTTTACTCGTCTTTCTCCCTGATCTACTAATTATGAAGCCCAGCCAAATACATCTTCTAAACCTCTCTTGAAAATTTTCTCTTGCCAGCGGTCTGGTTTAGGCCCTCATCATTTCTGGCCTAGAGTACTTCAAAAACCTCCCAAAAGATTTCCCTACCTGCTACACACCTCCAACAAGGACGTTAGAAGAAATCATTCTAGAACCCAAATCTTGTAATAACACTTTTCTATGCAAAATCCTTCCATGACAGTCTAAGCTTCTTAATATGTTTTATAAGGTCCTTCATGATCTCAAATTCTGTTTACTTATTTAGCATCTTTGCTTGCCATTTCCTATTAAACCTTAGTCCATCTTTAAACAGTACCAATATGCACTTGCAGTTCCCTAAGTATACCATGCCCTCTTGTTTCTGTGTCTTTGTACATGGCTGTTCCTTCACCTTTAAACATTCTTCCCTGACATTCTGCACCTGGCCCATTATAATCTATCTTTCAAAACTAAAATCAAAGTCCTCTCTCTCAGGAAGTCTTCCCTTACTAGCCACCTACATCCACCCAGCCCCACACTGACTTGGGTTAGGTGGCCCTCTACACTCTGAGCTTGGCTCTATCAGAATCTGTATTTTATTACTTGTCTGTTTGTGGCCCCCCTCTACCTATCATATTTTTCCTGTATAATCAGCACTTAGCACAATACCTAACACTCAATAAGTACTGGTGCATAGTATCTATTTTTAGAGCTAGAGATTCCTTATCTGTCAAAGAAAAACTGTGAGCTTTGTATTTGTTGTTAAAATCTCAAGGTTCCTAGCCCCAATTAAACTAAGTGATGCTCTTTCCTGTCTACTTTCTATTTACTTTCGGTTATTCTTCAGTCCTAGTCCATCCCAGACGATCCCGTTCCTACCTTCCCTCCCATGAACCAACAGTCCAATCACCCCCCGACCTCAATCTCAGCATAGCACTGGCCAGAAAACACATGGCCTCCATCCTCCACAATGTACTGGATTAACTTCCCAGCAGACGGTGAGCGCATCACTGAAGGGTCATTCTCCTTCTCAAACACACAGGTTTTATTGCCAATCGTGATGCGGTATCTAGGAGACAAGTGGGGGTATATAAGCCAATAAAGTACCTGAGGTCATAACAGAGAATGGTAGAATAATGTCAATCTTTAAAAAAATAGAAAAACTGAACACTTTATTCTATATAAACACATGCACACAGAATACTCATTCCATCTTTGTTTACAACGACAAATAACCAAAATTTCCTTCAATAAGGGTCAGATTAAATCAATTGCAATACATCCATATAATGGAATATTATACAACCATTAAAAAGAGCAGGCATCTCTATTTTTAAAGAACCACAAAGATGATAATGATGTAATAGCTAATACTTCTTGAACCCTTACTATGCACTAGACAAAGTTCTAAGCACTTTACATGTGTGAATTCATTTAACTGTCACAACATTGATTGACTGGTGTTGAACAGTCTACAATACATGTTAAGGAAAAAATAGGTGCAAAATAGTATCTAAAAATTATTTTTATTTGTGAATGCATTTAAAAGATGTAGACGCATATAAAATTTCTACATATAAGAAACTGTTAACAGTAGCTGCCTATAAAGAGGGAAATTTATTTTTCACTTCTACTCACACTGAGGTAGCAGAGAGACAACGGTTTTCATTGTAAATACTTTTTTGTACTCTTGAAATTTTTGTTAAATGCATGTACTATTTTTTTAATTAAAATAGAATGCCAGGAAAAGACCCTGAAAAATTCCAAGAGCTAGTGACTGCTGAGAAGAAAGGCTGACACAATGACCAATAAATGGACCTCAAACAGCCACTCACCTATCCACTTCTTCCTTCATGTACGTGGTATAACTGCTGCCATCATAGGACAAGAGCAGTCCTCCATCACTCAGCCGATGCACGTCTACTTCTACACATGAGCCGTTCATGATCACCACATAAGAGTTAGGGGACTGTCGAGTCACCTAGGGGATGAGAACCAGAAGGGACAAGTCAGTATCCCTTCCGGATGGAGTCCCAGATAAAATTCAGTATCAAAACTATAGATAAAAAAGATCTGTCAGAGAGGAGGGAAATTCCTGGCACTGGTGCTCTCAGCATCAGTGTCTGCAGGCATGGCTCAGCCCTACTACAAGCAAATAGGGCGACCTTAGGTGCTTCCCTAGTCTAGCTATTCTCTTGGCTCCATATATAAAGTTGAGGAACAAGTAAAACATTTTCAGAAAACCATCAAATATTGTTTCTGGCTTTTGACATATATAATGACCGTAATTTTATAACACTCAGCCCTGCAGTAAACTAAATTTTTCCCCCCATTTCTTTACCTACAGGAATCAAGTTAACAAAGAGAGCCAAAAAAGTGTGCAGGCTTCAGTGGAGTTCAGCATACCTTAAGTACATACTTGACTCCCTCATAGATAAGTTCAACATCTACAGTGTTCAGAAGTGTATGAGCAGGAAGGACTTGACCCCTGAAAGAACAACAATGTGAGATACACTTACTTCTAGAAAGTTCTAAAAGTTTATAAGGGCATCTCAAAGGTTATTGATTATAGCATTTCCTGGAATATCAAGATGGAAAACAACCTTAACGACCATCTGTAAGGGATTTATACATAAATTATGAAAAAGCCATATAACAATGGAATTTAAGCAGCTATTAAAAAAGAAAGATGGCTCAGCCAGTGTGGCTCAGTTGGTTGAGCACCATCCCATGCACCAGGAGGTCACAGTACGATTCCCAGTCAGGGCATATGCCCAAGTTTCAGGCTCAATCCCCAGTAGGGTGTGTGCAGGAGGCAGCCGATCAATGTTTCTCTCTGATTGATGTTTCTTTCTCTCTCCCTTCCTCTAAAAAATAAATAAATAAATAAAAAATCAATAAAAACATATTTTTTTAAAAAAGATGAAGCCTTTTATGTACTAATAGAAAATATTCTCTAAAATAATGAAAAAAAGCAAGTGAAATTGAATAGAACAGTTTCAGGGTATGACACCATTTATGTTTTAAAAAAAATAGGGGGTGGGAAGAATCAACTATTACATGCATATGTTTATATAAATTTACAATGTCTGGTAGGTTACAGAAGAAACATAATGGGATGACTACAGAGAAGGAAACTGGGTGAGCAGGGAACAGAGGTAAGGAAACTTCCACTATATACCTTTAGTGACTTTTTAATTTTGAACCATGTGAATGAATATATTACCTGTTCTTAACAATAAATAGAAGTAAAACTTAAAAAAAAAAAAAAAGGCCCCAGCACAACCAACACTAATCTACTCCTATTAACTGAAATTTTATTTGGGGTCTTAAAGATAAAAGCAGTAGTGTATGGCTGGGTGGAGGGGAAAGAGAAAGACATTGCCAAGCAGGAAACATTATCAAGAAAAACTTTTGATAATAATAAAAAAAAGAAGTGACAGAGCAAGTGAGGCAAGTTGTTAATAATTGATGAATCTGGCAAAGAATATATAGTAGTTGTTTGGACTATTCATGCAACTCTTCTATAAGTCCGAAATTATTTCAAGATACAAGTTTTGAGAATAAATGAAAATAATACTAAAAAGACAGGGGAGCTTATAGAGGAGATTACATATGACACATTTGTACACTAGTAGGGAAACCACTTAACTAGGTAGAGATTGCATGTTGAGAAACAGAAGTTAGTAAGACTGGACTGGTAAAAAGGAGCCAAAGTATACAAGGAGTTAAAAGTCACACTGAGGGATTTAGATTTTATAGAGAGGGTAATGTGAGCTGCTGAAAGTTTTAGTGCATCAGAGCAACAAAGCGAAAGATTTATCATAAGACTTGAATAACTGTGAAATCTCAGTTCAATACAAAAATTTTTTCTTTTCTTCCTTTCAGACTCCTCAAAGAGAGCTTATATAAGTCTACAACACAGAAGAAAACAAAGTGCCTGTTACTAAAGTTCTTTGAAATGATTAGACCCTTGGACCATTCCTCCAGGGACTCAAAGGCAGAACTTAGTCTCCAGAACCAGTGTTAGAAATTAGTTTAGCTCCATACAGTCTGATCCTCTACATGAAAGACTCATGAGGTCACCCTGAATATCAGCCTCAATTATTAATTCCTTAAAGGTGTTGCAGGTAAATATGAAATATTCAGGGTTCAATGCTAGAGAGAAACACCAGATTTTCATCACTAGGGTTTTGAGAAATCTGATGATTGTACTGGACAGAATGTTTACTTTAGCAGGATTCTAGGGTTTTTTTTGTTTTTTTTAAAATATATCTTTATTGATTTCAGAGAGAGAAAAGGAGAGGGGGAGAGGAGAGAGAGACAGAGAGAGAGAGAGAGAGAGAGAAACATCAATGATGAGTCATTGATCGGCCGCCTCCCGCACACCCCCAGGCATGTGCCCTGACTGGGAATCGAACCCCGATTGTCTGGATCCTAGATCCAGGATCAACTGCTGAGCCACGCCCGGCCAGGCAGGATTGTAGTTTTTAAAAAGCAACCCATTCTAACTGCAATATAAGCTAATTTCTAGAATCTGCGATGAGTCCCACAATAATTTGTCATAAACTCCTACATCCCTTTTCTTCCATCCCCATGGTCAGGTAGCACTCACAAGCTGCTAGAAACAGGGAAAATAAACGGGTCTTTGAACTTCAGTCCTGTACTCAGGCCCTTTGGTGAACTTGCACAGCTGATGAGAAACAAAGCCTACCTTTCTAAGGAGTGAAGGAAGTTAGAGACGCTATTCCGCAGGCTTACATCAGCCACATGGAGAGCCCCACACACAACTCCCAACATAGTGTCAGGTCGCTCTGCCTGAAAAGAAGAAAAACAGGGCAGATAAAAAGCATGGTCACTTGGCACCATGGCCCCTCAGTTTAAATCGGGCTCAAATCTGCTGTGAAGATACAGCTAGCATTGAGAATCTCCATCCTTATTGCCCAAATGATTTTTGAGTTAAAAACACATTTACTTTAGAGGCCTCGTTTGAACAGAGATGAAAAACAACTCTTCCCTTCACTCCCTCTAAGATTTCTACAGAACCAATCAAAGAACATCTCAAAAACAAGCTTTTATCAGAAATAAACTAAAAAAGGTACAGAGACTTGGCTACTGATAATATCAAAGAAAAATGGTATAAAACCAAAATTTGGACATTTAAATAATTTAATTAAATCTAATATTTTAACATAATCTTGGGTAATTTAGAATAGCCCTGCAATTCAGGAACAAGGGGTAACTCTGTTGATTTACATGAGGCCTCTCTAATCAGCATGTTAAACAAATGTAAAAGTTGGTAACTCTAAGCCAGATTTAACATCAAATGAGGAAAGAGAAAGGATCTCTAACCCTATGTGCCTCTCTTCAAATAAACCCTGGAAAGTAATACTAGAACATATAAAATGATGGCATAACACAGGCACAGGAACTCTTACAGGGTTAAATTACACTGACTCCTTGGCTTTTTCCAAGTAGTCCAAGAGCCATTTACATTAGAATCAGATAAATTTTACCTAGTGACACAGACTGATCACACCACAGGCCCTTAATGCCCAATCCCAGAAGCTGTTTGTGCAAAAGGAGAAACACACCTGTACTTTCTCTGCTATCAGTCTGTCCAGCCAGCCAGTGTCGATTCTATTCAACTGAAAGCTTTCGGTCTCCAACAGTTTAATCAGGTATTCAACCGTGGTTCGAAAGTCACCCCGAATAGACAGCTCCTTCAGAGCCACCACCATGTTTCTGGGAGAAGAACAGAAGCCGATCTGTTTTAGCAACAAGCGTTTTAGTGTTTTTCAATCATTTTAAAGAATTGTTTCATTCAGTTCCAAGGACAACTGAGGGTGCAAATATAAGTGTGCTCATTCGCATGCATTCCAGATGGGATGATTTGCAAGAAGTGAGTGAATTTATGAATTCTGACTGATATTACCATAAGTGCATCAGCAAATCACATGCATTTCATTATATGGAGTAAAGAACAAATCATGTGCAAGCCACCCTCGGCTTTCACTTACTAGGTTTCTGTCATTCCATTCATTTACTGATTGCTAACTAGAATTAGAGCATAATTTTCCTCTCCTTACACCTTATTTATTTTATTAAGGTATAATTTACATATAATAAAATATACTTAAGTATACTGTTTAATGAATTTTGATACATGCTCATACCTTAATTTAAAGGTTTCCATACAATGAGGCAACTGGCCAGGTATAGTCAGGTGTCAGCCTGACACTTCATTGGACAGTGTTTTCTTTTTTAAGCTGCATTTTAGATGTCTGTGAAATGGCCGCTCATTACTTTTATTATTTCCCAATCAAATGTTAAATGATCTAATATTAACAGAATTTCAAATACCATGGTTTTTTCCCCCCTGTGTATTTCTGCCCAGTTCTGTCCTGCACAGAACAGGTCTTTACTTCAACAAATACTTATCATGCACCTCACAGACTCGAGACACATACTAGGCTCATAAGGGAGAGAGAACGCAGGCACAATAATCGCTTTCAAAACATATGCCAGAATATCCTAAGTGCCAGTAGAGAGCTAGAGGCAATGTGCTGGAGAAGGTCTAAGGAGAGAGAATATCCACCTCCCTATGATTTCATGAAGAATGTGGAAGCTGACGTGGAATAAAAGTATAGCTGGGAATATGACTCTCACAGGAATGTTATTCTAGATGGTCCAGGCATTCCCTCAGCCTAGAACCGCATTCAGTTTCCCACCTCCACCCTCCTCTCTCTGCCCTCTTTTGGCCTGGCTTAGTCTTATATACTTTTTAGATATTAGTCTAGATGCCACTTCCTTCTGGGAAAACTTCCCTGACTCTCTCCAGACTGAGTTAGCTGACTCAGCTAAATGTTCCTATAATACCATTATGTAATCTCACTATCATAGACAGCGAATGACAACATTGTGTTTAATTGTTTATTTTCCTCTCTTCCTCTGGATTCTAAAGCTCTATAAAGACAGAGACCCTATTTTGGTCCTCACTGTATTGCCAAAACCAGTAGATATTCAGCAATTTTTTTTTTAATGGAGTGAATGAATAAATGGACAGAATATCAAGAACAAAGGGAAAGAAGGAAGAAAATATTGGTTATGTTCAGGGAACATCATGATTGAAGCAGAGGGTATGACAGGAAATAGTGGTAAATCCATTCATTTAACATTTAGTGAACAATTACTATGTTCAAGGGATACAGCAGCAACAAAACAGACATGGTCCTGTTCTCAGGGTATTTAGATTACGATGTATGGAAAATAATGCTGGAAATATTGGTTGGGGCTATTCTAGAGAACAAGAATATTATGAATATTATGAATAAGGAAATATAAATAACAAAGATAAAAGAAACTCTGAGCTGAGGGATGAACTTGTGGCATGAAGTCAAGAAGTAAGCTTACTGTAAAGACCATATTTTTAATATGCTACAAGTTAACCTGTTAGCTTTACACCCAGTTACAGAAATGTACAGAGCAGGTCAGGAAGTAAAGAGCAAGGCTTCTGGACCAGGCCATAGGCCATGTCCTGTCAAAAATACTCAGTGGTCTGCCTAAGCAGGACTGTGAACCTAAATACCAACAGAGGGTACTCTGAGAATGTAAATGAGTGTGGCAGACTGGATGGGGTCCTCTGTGCACTAGAGAGTTTAAATTTCCTCTAAAATAAGCAGCCACACAAAGCTTTAGTTAACTTTTGCCAAGTGGAAAATAAAACCAACGCTGTCATTATTAGAGTGATGGATTTCCCAATTTTTAAGTATTGGAAAATTTTAATACATCAGCACTCTGTATCAAACACATGTGTGGTTGTGGCTGTCTGGAAGACCACCAATTTGCAAACTCTAGGGTAAACCTTCTTCACTTTGGCAAAGCAGGATATGACTGTAATTTAAAAAACAAAAAGCAACTTTATACCAAATGGTTTTTCTAGCAGCATTGCTTTAATTTGGGAAAACTCCACTTATAGTTTTGTTCTGTTTTTCACCATTCAGAAAGTTATTTTATTTTATTTAATTTATTTATTTATTTATTGTCAACACTATTACAGATGTCCCCCACTTTTTCCTCCTTTGCCCCCCTCCACCCAAACCCCCACACCCCCTCTACTTGTATTTTTGAATAAATGGGAAGAATTATAGAGGGCAAAATAGAGAAAAATTGAGAGTTCCCTATTTCCAAAAACACTATTAAAAACCAACATTATTAATAACTACTCATTGACTACTGGTCTATGTATACAGTCCAAAGGTCAAAGGAATGGTATTAAAAGCCTGATATAAGGAAACACAAAAAATAGAATTAGATCAGTTTTAGATAAATATTCTAAAATATATAAACTGTCAAAATTACCTCCTAGAGCCCTATTTTTTAGCAAGCAAAATTGCTAATTTAATATTTAATGTTTATGTTTAATATAATATTAACTAATGACACTTATGATATACCAGTTATATTTGGATAAGCTGTGTGTATATGTCATAGCAGACTGAGGTATCTTATATAAGCAATGGGGACAGTTCCTTTATGTCCTTTGCATGTAACAATTTATTACTTTAAATGACTATGGGACATTTACGGCTATAACTTTATTTTTATGACTAATAACAGGTCTTCTCTATGATTTATAGGACGTCAAACTCTTGGTCAAGAATCTACCTCTCTCCAGCAACATGGGAAAATTATATCTTTTAAGCAATCACTTTTGTAAGTTTATAAAAAATATATCTTTAAAGCAATCAACTTTATAAGTTATCAAAATATTTAAAGGCAAACATACTTAAAAAGGCTCAAACAACAAACTGAAAAACATCTGCCACACACTGCATAATTTAACACAACATGAATACAAGTACAACTGAAGATATACGTCTTCATAAAGGTTGTCCATATTAATACTTCTGTAGCAGATAAATGATTCCCTGCCTATACCCATACCTTCACTGAAGATTAGCACAGATTTTTTTAAATGCAATCAAATGCTATTATACTCACGAAATTGCTTCCTCTCTGTTTTCTCCCCAGGAAAAGCAGTGACCGAACTGAGAATCAGCAAATTCATGAAGTCCCCCTGCAGCAGCAACACTAAAATAACCCCAGACGTTCTTATTGCTGCGGAAATTCAGTTCCTGAACTGTTCCTGAGCTGGGCTTAAAACCCTGTTAGAGAATGAAGAATATGAGAGACCATATTATAGTTCCAAGGAAGAGAATATTTATGTATTTATTGTTTAGGCTCTGTGTTAATCGCACATAAAAGCAGAGAAGACACACAAAAATCATAAAGGCTTGAGAGCCAACATCCAGTGCTACTATAATGACTATAGTAGGATGAAATGACCAATGGAGCAGTGATCACTTCTTTGTCTGCTCTGATGAAACCTCTATAAATTTCCCCCTCCAGAGGAAGTCCCAAAATATTTCAGAAGCATAGCCCTCAGGTACTATCTTAATATTAAAGTTCACAGGGAAAAAAATGTAAACCTTTTAAGTGATGGGTTACCTCATCTGGATTTTCACTAGTGATCCGAGCAGCAATAACGTGGCCCCTTGGGCAAGGAACATGAGCAGAATTTTCAAAATCAATGGGAGCATCACCCCAGGGAGATACTCCATACATCATACGAATATCCTTGATTCTGTAAAGAGGGATCCCCATGGCAATCTGAAAGGTAATAAAACACACATCACTCATTTTTCAGTTATTTTCCATAAAATGCGGAGGCTATAGATTACCTGCAAGACTCTTCATTTTAGTAGCCACCACTTAAAACATTCTATTTTTATAACCTATATTCTATAATCATCAAAGAAGAAACTCTAAGTTACTTAAAACAAAATATGTCACTATAGAAGTTGCTAAATACTTTTCACTTCTAAAAAAGTCTCCAAATTCCTAATGCAACAGACATAAGTTTCTCTCTATTGTCATTTTTCCATCAATGGATCAGAATGGAAATATCCAAAGAGTCAGTATCAGTGGCTACCCAAGAAGTTTAGACTGCTAAAAAGTCTATCTCATAATTATCCCCATAAACCATTGGAGGAAATAAATAAATCAATCTTTAGTCCTTAATGGGAACCCAGAAAGGGTTCCCATTATGGGCAAAGAATATGTTAGATACAAATATTATAAAACTTCATCATTAGCTTTACTGCTTCCCATAACATTTGTTTCCTGGGCTGAATGGGTAAAAGAATACTGACAGCTAGCACTTTAAACATTATAAAAATAAATGGGTTCTGCCACAGTCTTGTCCAGAAAAACCCTCCCCACCTCTCTGATGTGGAACTGCTTCAATAAGGAGTAAAAGGAGTACAAGCCAATTACAAAGTTGTAAAGTTTTCTATAATTAAAACGATTAAGTAAAGCATATTCTTTCTTAAGTTTCTTTCTAAAATGACAGTTTTTACCAGATGTGTGTGGCTAAAAAATAGAATAATATTCCCAGATTTGTACCACATCAGGAAAACCAACCCACACATCACAACCCATACAGCACGAGAGAAGAACATTAGATGAGACTCAGATAGGAGGTGCTCTTCTCATCAGACACAGGTTAAACTGGTTTTTCAGGCATCTCTGACATTCTCTAGGCAACTCTTTGGGCCGAGAACAGGGTGATTCACCTGGAGTTGTGCTGCAGGGAGATTAACATCAGCCACCATCTCTGTACAAGGATGCTCCACCTGCAGCCGAGGGTTTAGTTCCAAAAAGTAGAAGCTGCCATCCTGGCTGTAGAGGTATTCTACAGTCCCCGCACTCACATAGCCAACCATTTTGGCAAGTTTCACCGCACACTCAAAGAAAAAAGATAGAAAAACATGAGTATCTCACCTTGTCTAGCTGGTGGACCACTGCTTATCTATATAGCCTCTCCCTGACTCAAATATCTAGTGTTTATAAGAGCCACCAAAGGCTTTTAGCCACATTAGAGTGAATTTCACCCTCTGATTATTACAGAAGGTCCTGGACATGGATGATGAACTCAATTTAAAGCAGAAGGAAAACTGTTTTTCATTTGGGATCATAGGCAACCTCACCCTATAAGTACATGCAGGTAAAAAAAAACCCACTGTAGCAGATTTTTCACTGTGCCCTGGTTTCTAGTACTCCTAGCATTCTTCCTAAAACATGGCTGCCCAGCTAGTGACTAGATTTCCCAACCTCTCTTATACCTAGTGACTAAGTTTTGGCCAATGTAATGTCAGCTTTGGTGAGTGATATACCTAATTCCTGAATCATGATTTTAAAAGAAAGTGCTTGTTCTCTATTCCTGCCTGTTCTCTTTCTATTGCCTGAAACATGGTCATGACAGTATAAGCCAGTTTCAACCACACAGATGAGAACATACTAAGAATGGTAAAACAAAACAGAAAGAACCTGAATTCCAAAATGGCCTCATGGAGCATAACTGTCCCACCAGCCCCGCGGAGCTTACCTCAGCTTATGATGGGAATTAAAAATAAACTTCTATCTTATCTGGGTTGTATTTTTTAGATCTCTTTATTATAACAGCTTAACCTATACCTTAATCACTACAGAAATTATTAAGTTCAAGTAGAATCTTGCTATTAAAAAATATTAAAATATGTGTTGTTGGCTTAGTAGATACTGCCGACTGGAAACTGGTGGCCTCCTTGTTAGGCATAACAAAACATTGGGTAAATGGTGTCCTGCAATAACTTGCAACGAGGACAACACACCAACTAAGCCCTAAGAAAAGGTCAGAATGTGAAAAATCCAACTGCTTTTGTACTCCCAAACCAGAAAATTAGATTCTCATCCTAAAGCACCCCAGTGTGAAAGATTAAATAAAAGAGGAAAAGTTACTATATCTAAAAATCTTGGAGTGTGGTTACTCCCACCTGAAGCTGACTGAAAGCAAATAGTCCAGGAACTTATTAAAATTTGAAGGAACTGTAATTCTAAACAAACCGCAAACCTGGCCTTCAAGAACCTGTGACTGATAATTGGAATCATCTTTGTGGCCCCAATCCTGCACCAGCAGGAAGTGAGCTGTGAAAGCTCTGTCAAAGCCTCCAAAGCCCGGTCACAGAGAAAACACAAGGAACACCTTCCCAGAGAACAAAGAAAGGTAGGCAAGGGATTTACTTGAGAGTAGAGCCAGGGGCAGCCAGAGGGCTAATTGAGGTATTACTCCACTACTTGGCAGGAAATCATCACAATTCCTGCCTAGAAGGATTTGGTAACTGCTATGGACCAATGATTACTATATATTTTTCATTTCTTTCCAAAGAGAGTTTATCCTGTTTATATTCCACCACTGTATATTTGATACATGGGAAAAGGAGGAATGACGAGGGGTAGGTAACTTGTATTTTAGGTCACTGGCCCATGAAAAGCCACATGTACATTTAATGGAGAGAATTAGAGATCTTGGACTTGGAACTATCTTCTTTGGGGAAGGCTAAATATATCCTAAGTGTGAGAAAAAGGGTGTGAAAGGCTAATGGGTAGCCAGAGGATCAGACTGAGGCACAGGTTATTAACTGCCCTCTAGTAATTTTTCTTTGTGTCATTCATTTAGTAATAGAGTTTCCTAAATTTCAGCTGAATATATGGCCACCCAGTTAGTGACTACAATTCCTAACATCCCTTACAGCTATGTGTGATTGTATAGCTGAATTTTGTCCAATGGAATGTGAGCAGAAGTAATAGGTGTGACTTCCAGATCATATTTTTACATACTTGCCCTCCATGTCTTCTTCTCTCCCCCCCAAGCGACAATGTGAATATACTCTTGTGAGCCAGCTTAATCATGAAGATGATGATACCTTGGGGCAACGATTGGCAAACTTTTTTGGTAAAAGGTCAGATAGTAATTATTTTCACTCTGTGGGCCATATAATTTCTGTCAAAACTACTCATCTCTGTCACTGCAGTGATAAAGCAGCCATAGATAATATATAAATAAGTTAGCATGGATATCCCAATAAAAATTTTATTTGCAAAAGTAGGTGGCAGGTTGGACTTGTCCTGGGAGCTGTAGTTTGCTGACCCCTCTCCTAGTGAATGGCAGAGCAATAAACCTAGGTCCCGGGCACCAGCTCATTTAGAACTATCATGTGAGAAAAATAGAACTTATACCTTGTTTAAGCCATGGTATTTTGAAAACCTCTTACAGCAATTAAGTAATATGTCTTACTTAACACATATGCGCATATACACACACGTCGGAATTAAACTTCCATAGATTTAGCTTGTTTGGAATTCAGGAGAAAAAAGAAATAGAAAATATATCTCCAATAAAATGAAGACTAAATAACAATTCCAGAAAAGACCAAGTTAGACCCCTAAACTACAACTATTTCCAAGGGACCCCGCACAACTGCTAAGAGATTCTTTTCTATACAAAAATATAGAATATATAAACTTTAAAGATACTTAAAGGACCTTTTAAAAAATTATAAATTTATCTGAGGACTCAATGATAATCAGTCTAAAAAATGGACTATCTGCTTATCATGAACTCATTAAAAAATCAAATGATAAGATTAAAAATCCCAAAATATTTTTCTTCTTTATTCCTACTCAAAATAGCACACTGATTTTTTTTTCCAAAGTGTTAACTAATTTAGAGCTTGGAATGTTCACTGGCAACTCTCCTACAGGGAGGCAGCATAATTATTTCTACTGGAAAAAAATGTAATTTTATCAGTTACCCAGAATCATTGCAAGAAATTCCACTAGTCTCAGATTGGTACACAAATTGAAGGAATGTAGTTCTGTGTAAGAAAACAAAAATTAGAGTTTTTCATATAAATACCTGTTCCATATGTTCAAATACTGCTGGAGTAGCAATAGCAGCAGGTGCCTCTTCAATAATCTTCTGATGCCTGCGTTGTACAGAGCAATCACGACCAAACAAAGAGATGGCATTGCCATACTGATCTGCTAAGATCTGCACCTCCAGATGACGAGATTGTTTGGCTAGTCTCATCACAAATATAGGAGATCCAGGAACTTCAGCTTGAACCTACATTAAAAAAGAAAATAAAACAATTTTTTAAGAAGTAGGCATTCTTTTATCCTGATAAACTGCTTCAGTTTCAACAGGCAGATGCCTAGAAGTGTGAGGGACCATGTTAATCAGTAGGAATAGGAAAAAGTGAATAAAATAAATTTCATGTTCTTGTCTCTTTTTAAGAGATTGCATTCTTAGTTATATGATCAATATTAAATGATGAATATGAAAACATATGAACATCTAGTGTGCTACAAGGGTAAAGAACAAAATATTTTGAAAATACATACACACAAATTCCACAAAAGGGCAAAATACTGCCATCAATTTCAAACAGCCAAATGTACAACTTGCTTCAGACTAAGATGCTCTCCTGGTTCACATCATAGCATATATGGTCTTATTGTAGTCAAAGAACTTTCAACTGCAATTTTGAAGCATATTGTCACTGGATACAGAATTCTATACTGGCAATTATTTTCTTTGAATAATTTAAAGATATCCCAATATTTTCTGGCTTCCACTGTTTCATTGAGATGTTAGGTATCAATCTTATTGTTATTCTTTTGAAAGTAATTTTTTTTTTCCAGCTGCTTGAAGATGTTCTCTTTCATTCTCTCTTTTTAGTGGAGTGAAATGGCAGATCTACTCAGATAAGCTTAAATGTAGTTTTCTCTGTACTTGTCCTGCAGGTCTCATAGTGCTTTCTGAATCTGTGCTTGGTATCTTTTATCAGTTCAGGAAAATTCTTAGTCATTATCTCTTCAAAAACTGCTTCTGCTCAATGATTTCTTTAAATATTGCTTCTGTCCCATTCTCTTCTCCTCTGAGATTCAAAGTAAATAAGGTTAAATAATTTTACTGTATCCCATATGTCTTTTATGTTCTATACCTTTTATGCTCTGTTTTGATACATAACAAGTCACCCCAAGTCTCAGCGGCTTAGGATGTCAACCATTTTCTCTGCTCATGATGCTTTGCTCATCTGGGCAGTTTTTCTTTAGGTCTTCCCTGGGGTCATTCATGTACATTATCATCATCTTGAGGCTCAAGTGGGCTGAATAGACTCACTCAAATGGCTGATGACTTGTGTTGATGGTTGGCTGGTAGATCTAGAGCCTTGACTGGAACAACTCATCTATATTGCAAGTGGCCTCCCATCTTCCAGTAAGCTAGAAAGTTTTCTTCAATGCAGTGTCCCAAAAGGGTGAGGGCAGAAACTGCAAGGTTTCACAAGCTCTAGATTCTAGAACTTACCACTCTGGCCACATTCTAATGACCTAAGCAAGCTACAGGCCAGCTAAGATTCAAGGGGTAGGAAAGGCAAAGTAACATTGCAAGGGGATATACATACAAGTTTGGGAATAGTTATTGTGGCCATCTGCAAACAATCTACTATGACCCTCCCTCTGGCCACAATAATTCACATACCTCCCACATGCAAAATAGACTCACCCCCTCCCAAAACCCCTAAAGTCATCCAATCATGACATCAGGTCTGAAGTCCATTTTCTCATGAGTCATGTCCAGAAGGAATTAGACTCCTTGGGTGCAGTTCCTCAGGTACAGTTTCTCTTGATCCAAAATCTGGGCTCTAAAAAGACAAGTGATATGCCTCCAACACCCTATACATTTAATGATGAGATGGAAATAGGATAACTGTAAAAGATATTCCAGTTCAAAGAAGACAGGTTGGGAGTACATTGCTGTCACTGGTCCGCAGCAATTCTGAAATCCAGATGGATACCTGTTGTGAGGTTCCCTTATTCCAGGGGTATAGACTGTTCTTTTAGGGTCTTGCTCTGCTCCCTGGGAGTGGTTTCCTAATCCATGGCTCCTCTGCTTTCTGGGTTTCTAGTTCTGCTCTCTCAAAAAAATCTTTTTATTAAAAATGACTAATGTTTACAGAGGAAGAGCTTTCTCAGTCTGCTTCCTATCCATAGAAAATTGAAGGCCCAGGAGCCTCTTAGAAGTTTGAACTGTCTCTGTCTCTTTTATTTCTTTTGTGTATTCATCAATACAAGTCTCTTGAAAACTTAGTGAATTTCCTATGAACCATATTGGAGGAATCATTCCTTGCCCCAAAAGGCATATCCATAACTTTTGGCCTGGAGCCACTCACATAGCTATAGTCATTTGGCAACTTGACTGCAGTTGGATAGTCTAATACGGCCTCACATGTCTCAAATGCTGAAGTAACTGTTAGCAAGTAGGTATAGGGATCCTCAGTAGGGCAACTAATCTCTGTTTCATGCGGCCTCTCTTTCTCCAGAAGGCTAGATTGAGCTCTTCACATGGTAGTCTAAGGCTCATTCCCAAGAGGGCAATGGCAAAAACAACAAGACCACTTGAGGTTTAAGCTTCAGAATCTGTATGCCATTTCTGCCACATTTTATTGTCAAAACATGCCACAAAGTAAGCTGAAATTCAAAGGGCAGGAGAAGAAAGAGAATCATAGTGTAAAGGGATATGTGTATATATGGATGAGAGGAGTTATCATGATAATCTTTGCAAATAATCTCTCACATGCTCTTTATTATATTTTCCATTTTTTATCTCTTCATGCTTCAGTCTGAATTTTCTTATGACCCATCTTCTAGTCACAAATTATTTCTACATCTGCATCAAATATGCTATTAAATTCCTCTCTTGACTTCTTAATTTTAGTTACTACATTTTCAGTTCTAGAATTTTTATATTTTTCTTCTTTATGGTTTCTCGTTTTCTGCCAAAATTTCCAATCTTGTCTTTAATTTTCTTGAATTCATTAAGTAGAGTTAAAGTCCTTGTTTGATAGATCCATTATCTAAACCCTCTGTGGGTCTGTTTCTACTGACTTTATTTTTCTTGATTATTAATCATGTAATTTAATATGCTGCTTATTTTTAATTGACTGCTTGATACTGCATTTGAAAAATTAATAGAAGTAATTTGAGGTTCTGGATGGTATCTTCCTCTGGAGAGAATGTATATTTGCTTCCTGTTGGTGGCTAGGAACACTAGCAATCACAGAACACCTTGCTTGAATCAAGGGTTGAGTGTTTTGAAGTTGATATTTAATCCCTGTGAAGGCTGATTTATTTACAGTTCATTCTTACTCCTGAGATACAGTCCCTTCAAGCTGTCATCCTAAAACGTGGGAGGTTTCCCAGGGCACTCTACTCAGCAAGCCCTAAAGTCTAAGTTTTGTCCTTTTCGTCTTGTAAGACTGCTGAAAACTTTAGTTAGCTTCTTCTCAAACTAGATGATATCTCTAGGGAAAACGTGGCCTCAAATGCCAGGCTCACCTCTTTGGGTTTCCTTCTTGGCCCATAATTCTTCACTGCCTTGAAAGGTCTCTAATGCTTTACAATAGATTTTTTTTTTAACTTGGTCCAGCTTTTCTAATTTGTTCTCAATGGAAGAACTGCTTTGAGTTATTCAGTTAATCATTACTGGAACTTAAACAGTCACATAAAAATTCCTAATCCTTACCAAAAAAATTAAAACAAAAACGAAACCAAAAAAAAAACTTATTTCCAATTGTGTTGACTAATAAACTACAATCTGAAGAAGAAAAAAAAAAGAAAAAAAAAATTCCTAATCTTAGTGTTCTAATTTCTTCAACTATTTGATTCCATAGTAATAAGTAGTTTTGAAATACCTACAGGAGTTAATATTTTTAAAAATTAACATGCTTTTTCTTTTGCTTCTAAGAGCAAAGGCCTTTTCTTTAGATCCCATAAGGCACTGAAATATCTATGAAATTGGAATTATTATAGAAGGCATGTAAAGAAAAAGACAAATAATACTCAAATTCTGACATTCAAGATAAGATAATGTAACAAAATAATATGTGTATCACTTTCTTTATTGAGTATATCAAATCATGAAAGACCCAGAACATAGACTTTTTCTCTTTAGCCCATGATAAGGAAGCAAAAAATTTGCTGCTGAATGATTTAAAAAAAAAAAAAGAGTGCAAATAAAAGGTAGCCAAGGGTACTAGTAAAGGACGGTGCAAACTAAAAGTGTTAGGGAAAAATAAGAAAAAGTAGGAAGCTAGAAAAGTGAAAAGGCCAGAATGTGTCCCAATTTGACTTTTTCTGGGTATTGGTAGGAGAAAGAAGAGTGAGTCAAGTATGTGAGGGTAACTCTGAGGGCAGGGAAAAAGATACTCCTGTCTCCTAATTCTCTAAGATTCTGAAAAGAGAACATTTCTTTGGCTTCCACAACCAACCTGTAGTTTGGTCACATCAACTTAGCTGCAAATCATAGAGAGATCAGAGAGAGATCCTAGGGTTAGCTTTTCAGAGCCACTCTCAGTTCTCATAAAACATGAGCCTGCCATAGGGTTCCTGTGCCATGGTACAGTGGCCATACAGTACAGGCTAGGATGTAGACTGCTGGGCCAGCAGGGTACATAAGACAGGAGAAACTCAAATTTGAACTGAAGGAGGTGAAGTCAATCAGAGAGTTTGGGCCTGACTAAGCCAAGAAAATTCTGATCAGGAGTTAACCATACCACATACATTGTACCACCAGCAGAAGAAGGGCACAAAAATATAAAGGCATTGACTCTTCCTTGCCACAGAAAACCCTACAAGTCACCATACAGGGAAGAGCTATCTGAGAAACTGATGACTTTTATATGAGAGAATAACTCTATTTTCTGGACTTCCAAATTATAGTGGGAGTTAAATCATGTATCACTAATATACACGTCAATTCGAACAAAGACAACTTGTACTCTACCTGTCTGAAAAGGTTAGGGAAGTCATCTGCATTGTTGACTTTTCTGATTCCCTTTCCTCCTCCTCCTTCTGAGGCCTTGATCATTACCGGATACCCAACTTCCTCTGCTGCCTTCAAGAAGAAAAGAGAAAAATGGAAGAGTGATATTAGTAGGGAAGGAGAAAACTGGCATTCCTTCCCTTTAAGGATGCTATTATTTGGTAGGCCTGTATATAGTAAAATAAAAAGATCTTGAAGATATACTATTAAGTAAAAGAATAGAACAATATTTGTAATTCTCTGGGTTGAACCAAGAGAAACTGCCTTTATGTGTAAGTATGATTACATATGCATTTATACACCCAAATATTTTTTTTACTGATACACCCAAGGATATGTTTTACTGATTTTTAGAGAGAGGAGAACTGGAGAGAACTATAGGAGAATAAAAGATTATGTTGAAGGAAGGATCTCCTTTTGCTTGGGTTCATGTTTTTACATGGATGGACAATAATTATACAGTAACACTTTCTGCCTCTCTTAGTTCCCTCCCTCACTCCTCCCCAAGGAAAAAAGAGTAAATTATGTGACTGGTAGGTATGGAAGGAGGAACTGAGCATGCATAGCTCAGCCCCTTTCCCCTCTGGGATCAGCCCACTGCAGAGAACACATGCTCTTTGTCAGCTCTGAGTCATACAACAAGCTGAGTGGTAAAAGCTATGTCGATGTAAAGGGAAGTCTGTGGTTATTGAGCACCACCAGTAACCAGTGAATGAGCCTGTTTAACTGACATCTGAGGTACAAATCTGATCGCTGCTACACACATAAACCATTTTCATCAACATCTCTCTATTCTTAATAAAGGTGACATTTTGACCCCTATCTGCCTGGCTTCTTGGTTCTGAACACAAGCAGGGGCAAAAGTATATTGTTTGTTGCCCCTCCCCCCAGTAACAGATGTGGAGACTTAGTACTTCCTTAAAGCTCTGACTTAACCACCTACGAAATGTTCTAAGTGAGAGTACTGCTTCAAACAAATTTAAATTGTTATATGTAGGTCAGTTCTTTACAAACTATACCTCCCGATCTTGCAACCCTAATGCCATCATGAGTATATTATCATGAACCAGGCTCCAGATCGCTATATTTCTAACTATAATTGGAAGTGAAAGACATCACTTCCTAGTTAGTAACCTACCTGTAGCCCGTCATCCACATCCTTCACATAGCCTTTTTCATAGAGTTCCTGGGGAACATTTAAGATACGTTTTGAAAAGTCACTTTCTTGCCAGTTCACACGAAGACCTGCAATAGGTAACAGGGACTTAAATGCAGCTATAAGAGCATCTGTTCTTGTCAATTTTCTGCTACACCTTCTTTAAAATGCTCTCACATTGAGGGTAGATGGGAGATAGAAGGATGCCATAAGACTTTGGTCAGTTCTTGGGGTTAATGGTATATACCTATAGCAGGACCTGGCAACTTGGGTTTCCAGTGTAAACAGGACTTTATACTAGAAAAATCCAGGAGAGCTAATAGGAATCAACTTATAAAAATGCAAGGACATACCCGGGGGCGGGGGGGAAGCATGTCAGGCTTCTCATAGCAATGCAGCAGGCAAAATACCCTCAATTTGTGTGTTCAGGCCTGCTCCAGGGCCAGAGGTCTGGGAAATAATTCAATCTTTATGAGCCTTGGAAATGGAAATGGCAGTTTTATTGGCCTCAGCAGAGTCATGATTCCATGCTCCCTGAATGTCCCTGTACTCAGCATCAAGGGGAATGCTATGGCCTCTCCATTCAAACAAGAACAAATTCAACCTTTTATTTTAAACTGTTTGACCCAGCAGGTCTGGAGGGGATATTGCAATCCCCCTGGAGACCTAGAGAAACAAGAGTTCAAATCTGTTCTGCCTCAAGACAATGGTGATGCCCATTTGGAAGAGGTTTTAGTGTATGTCTGTCCCCTGTGCTTGAGTACTAAAAAAAGGGAAGCTCATATTACTATCCACTAGAATAATTCACATGGCACTCTGAGGAATTTGTAAAGAATAAATCATTTTTAGAAAAATTTTATCCTTCTGCATGCCTGGAAGAAAGCTTGAATACTGACCTCATTTTCTATATCAAAGGCAACTGAGAGGTTAAATGGTATTAAACAGGCAAAGCAAATCACCAATACATTGTGGGATGGAATCAAAAAAATACTGGCAGACGAATATTTGAGAGGTGGGTTTTAGGTATTCTCAGTCATCCAGGTCACTTCCTAGGCCAGTTCAAAGGCCTAATTCTGCCTAGGAAGTCCATCTCATAGAAAGATTCTAGCCTACCCAGAGTAAATCTGAATTCACAGAACTATATGAGTTTTCCCAGAGTTTCTCCAAATTAAATCCCAAGATCACTCAAATCCCAGTTTAGCATCTGTATACCTCGTACAAAATTTATATTCCTAAGACATGATAAAATCACAGTTGTATTAATTAAGCCTGGAGATACAAGATAACATTAATCAACCTGGATTCTATCTCTTATTAGGTATCCCAACATTTTAAATAAACTTAAGCCCCAAAAGCCACAGTCCCAAATATCCTTATAAACTTTTTTGTACTTCAAGACACAAACAAGAAATAGTTTCTTACCACTGCCACTCCAGGGAAGAGTTGGGATACCTGCAGTTTGAGCCACTATGGAAGATGCAATCTTATCTCCCAAAGCCCACATGGCTTGGCTTGGAGGACCTAAAACAAAACAAGAAGCTTGACTATAACATTTTGGCCTCATTTCTGTCACATATATTTTGTCTTCTATATAATTATTTTTGTATGTTTCTTGTCTCCTCTACATATCATGGATATCATAAACTTAATTATAGGGGTTACTATGTTTTAACTCATACTTTGTACCCTTTATAGAACCTAATGTAGTAAGCTTTTAATACACAGTGGGAGTACAATATATAGGGTGTCCCAAAAAAAAAGTATACATACACTTTGAATAATTATAAATGAAGTGTTTATTAAAACACATTTCATTTTCAAAATTAAGCTATCAGCTGTCAAAGTGAGTATACATTTGGGGGGGATGCCCAGTATATATATATAAATATATGCTGAAATAAATTCCTGACAAATCTCTCATTTCATCATCCTTCATGATTCAACTTTACCGGATTAACAGTCTTTTTTTCTCTTTTGTACCAATATCCTAAATTAAGGACTATAAAGTTTTGGGGTTCAAGTCTGAAATATAAATATTATACCTTCCTTGGTCTTAGAGAAACCAAAAGGGAAAACTTAACTTTAATAGGGTTTATAAAGCATAATCATCATTGTGGAAGGTCTCTGAGACAGAGAAAGAAACACTTTGAGTCATATAACCTCTATTTCCCTCTCTGCCGTAGGAAAGCAGAGAAGACAGGAGACAGAGCTCTCACTTATAGGAATATAACCTGTATGCTTAAATGTGAAGGTGCTGACTCATATTTAAGGGCACACTGCCAGGGTATCCTAAGTATTCAATTATCTTTGCTATATAAAAATATGTTTTCCACGTTTTCTTAGGTTAATGGCAATGTTTTTAAAAACCAATGTGTTTCGGAAATCAGAGCCTCCTCCATATCTCATAGAAAAGAACCTAGGGGACAGAAAACACAATCAAGATGCAGAGACATAAGCAGGGTATAAGAAATGAGGAAGGGAAAACAAAATAATAAAGAGGTTACTCTGAGAGTTGCTGACTGATGAAAAATAAAAGAATGTTAAACAGAAGTGGAATATGGGCAAAATTGACAGAGAGGGACAGAAAGACAGGAACAATATTCCAGAAAGGCTTACCCATGAAGGCGATGCCGTTTTTCAAAAGAAGTTCTGGGAGCTTGGGATTCTCAGAAGCATGACCCCAGCCAGCCCACACTGCCTACGAGGGAACACAATATGGTTCATTCTTAAAATTCATACTTAAAAAAACCCCATGATAAACTATTATTCTCTATCAAGACTGGGCTTTACTCCATAAGGTACAATAGCTCCATAGCAGCCCAATACTTAATTCAGCTTCTAAGCTTTATTCTTGGCAAACTTCTTACAGAACAATAGCAGTCCATTGTGGCAAAGCCTCTGAAGAGGTCGAAACCAAGCTGAAATTGATATTAAAATCCAGCCAGTCTTGTTGATCTTTAGGAAACTCAATTCACAGCCTCTCAACTAGACTCTATAGAGCCTCTTCTAGAAATATTGGTTTTCTTTTACATATTCAAGTATTAAGGCCACGCAACTCAACCTTTATATCTAGTGGTTATACTGTCCCACAAATCTCGGGGGGGTTTCTTTTTGGGCTTTAAAACACCCTAAACTTCCTCACACAAGTGATAGGGAAATGAGCTATTTCTACAATACCATATTCTGAGCTAAGAATATTCCATTGGAAATAGGCAACTTTTACTTACTATGTATGGTTTGAAGGTAAAATGGTTAGAATAAATAATCTCTGAAAAACCCTTACAAACCTCCTGTTTGTATTATGTTTACTTTATTTTGACTAAATGCATCTTTCCTTTCTCTTTTGGCTATATTCCACATAAAGGCATTTATCACTTTTCAACAAAGATGCTTTCTATAGAATTAAAAGTCCTTTGGATATTCCCTTGTGCCTAACTATAAGATGGCTAAATTTGTTGGGTTTTTTTTTTTCCCTGTGACCACTTGCAGATTTTGTGTTTATTAAAACAATGAAGCCCTGGCCAGGGTGGCTCAATTGGTTGGGTGTCATCCATCCACTGAAAGGATACAAGTTCAATCCTGGTCAGGGCACATGACCAGGTTGCAGGCTCAATCCCCAGTAGAGGGCACGCACGAGGCAGCTGATTCATATTTGGCTCTCACATCAATATTTCTCTCTCTCTCTCCCTCTACTTCCCTTCTTTCAAAATCAATAAAAAATCCTCTTAAAAAATAAATAAATAAAAAATAAAACCATAAGATGCAATAGTTTTCTTTGGCAAGTATAAATATTAGCTCACATATGAACTATAGTGCTGAATTTGAATAATATCTTTAAAGTGGCCCTGGCCAGTGTGGCCCAGTTGTTGAGCATTATCCCATGCACCGAGAGGTCGCCGGTTCAGTTCCCAGTCAGGGAACATGGCTGGGTTTCAGGCTCGATCCCCAGTACAGGATGTGCAGGAAGCAGCCGATCAATGTCTCTCTCTCTCTGTCTCTCTCTCCCTCTCCATTCCTCTCTCTCTAAAATAAAAAAATAAAAAACATTAAAAAAATCTTTAAAGTCAAAACACTCTTTTTTCCCCTTTTTCCAAATAAAAATCTTTCAATTATAATTGACATACAATATTATATTAGTTTCAGGTGCACAACATAGTGATTAGACAGCTCTCTGTATTTGTTTCAGTTTTGTTTTTTTAAATTCCACATATAAACAAAATCATATGGCATTTGTCTTTCTCTGTCTTACTTATTTCACTTAGCATTAATACCCTCTAAATCAATCCATGTTATTAAAAATGGCAAGATTTTATTCTTTTTTTATGGCTGAGCAGCAATATTCCATTATATATATGCACCACTTCTTCTTTATCCATTTGTCTATTGATGGACACTTAGGTTGCTTCCAGATCTTGGCTGTTGTAAATAATGCTGCAATGAACACATAAATTTGGTTTTAAAGGACACACTGGCATCTCTTACTTGTACTGGGATCCTTTTAGCAATATCAAGAATTAATTCCACATTTGCATAGTTGTTGTTGTTTGGTCCTCCTGGCACTGGCACATAGTGATCTGCCATCTTAATGTACTCTGAAAATGCAAGCAAATTAATAGAGAACACATGCTTTATTTTCTGAAATATAATAGCAGAGCAAAACTATGTAAAGGACCATCATAAGTAACCACAGGACAAATTGCATTAATGGGGTAATTTCCAGAACCATTTATTTGAAGACCCTGACTATTAAATCACAGGCACTAATCTCATATTTATACTAAAACAGCAGTTCTCAAACATTTCACTATGTGACCTTTCTGAAGAGTCTTCGTGATCCCTATATCAAAAATAATGTGTCTGTCACTTAGAGGCCCAGGTACAATTATTCTATTCTGGGAAAAGTTCTAGTCCTGACATCTTTTATCCTTACCTTGCACTATATTCTGAGATAGCCCTTTTCCTGATGTAGAGCTAGGACAGAATGAGAACAGAGGGGGGAGTCTAGAGGGTTTGCAGACTAGCTAAATAGGAAAGGGTAGATACAGGAGTCTCCTATTCATGTATTTTTGTTCATTTTCTATTAATGGATGCCTTTTTCTCATATCAAAGGTAGAAACTCTTTTTACTGCTAATATGTTTTTCCAGATTACCATTTGTCTTTAAATTTTTCTCTTTTTATTTGCTAAATAGAAATTTTTATTCTTATGTAGTCAAATCAAACTTTTCTATAGTTGAGTGGCCATAGAAAAAAAGTTACTTTAATTGCTGACCTACATCCTACACACACACACATCCCTAAAAAGATAAAGTCTATGCTCCGGAGGATGAAAAACAAGGCCCTCCTTAACAAATACTAGTTCACATTTTGTACTTTACCAAGCCACCTATAATTTCCAGAAAACTACTGTGTCACACCTTCAAACATTTGCATATACTGTTCTTTCTACCTGAAACACTTTTGTCTTCTCCCTAATTGCTTCATTAATTCTTACTCAGTTTTGGATAGGCATACATAACCCCTTCAGAAAGCTTTCTCTTACCCCTCCCCCTAAGAGCACAGGGCAGAGTTAAGATGTCTCATCTCTGTGTTCTCACAGTATCCTGTGCATATTTCTATTATAGCACTGACCTCAATGTAATGAAATTATTTGTTTCCTAGAGCAAGATCACATCTTATCCAACTATAAGTCCCCATGTTCCCTGAATAAATAAATTAATAGGAGTACTAGGGAGAAATAGATAAATAAAAAGAAATAATTAAAGGTAGTTTACATTTATGATAGAATATTTTCATTGAACTAGACATTATGATCATTCTTTTACAGATAAAAAAATTGTGGCTCAGAGATGTTAAAGGGTCAATATAAATGTTTTCACATAACATCAGCTTTCTAATAAATTGGTGCCTTCTCCATTTCTAAATAAGATAGCATAATAACCCTTCCTCCTTAGGCATAGTTTTAACATCATTATCTCAATATAGAAAGAACATATACAAAGCAAAATAGTTTTAAAAAGATAGCTATTTAAAAAGCTAATGTTATCTGTGGGTACTCTAACTTAGAGATTATGCTTTAGTGATAAAAAGCATGGAGAGGAAAGCCACAGCCTCTCAGCTATCCCAACGACTCTCAGCTGGAGGACCTACTGAGTAGAGAGAATATACAGAAAAGCTTGCAGAGTGAAACCCACTTGGGTCCCAAGAGGTCTCTCCCTCAGGAGGAAGGGAAAAAATTCACTGTAACTCATAAGGGAAATAGTATTTCCCCCCAAACCTTTCCACTTACACATGCTAAAGTATGTGGCTTAGCAAATACTTGACATTGAAAAGGCATACAACCTGAAAAACCAAATCAACACTTTTGTTCAATTTCTACCTATTTTTACTTAGAATACAGGAGTCTGTATTGAGGTTAAATATAGCACAATCACCTGTATATGCCCATTATTAACACTTTTTAAAAAAGAAATCCTTCAGTTTGGGAATCTCCCTAAATTACCATTCTCCTACTTACCAGCTGTGCTATTCAATGTTTTATGCTCAAGAGTGATGCTTTCTTAATGCTAATGACTCACCTGCATTGGCTTTGAGGTCTTCAGGTGTGACCATGACAACAAATCGGATTGCACGTTCATTTCGAAACATCTCGTAAGACCACCTACGAATGGACCGCATGCATTTCACTGCTGCAATGCCATTATTGGCAATAAGAACCTGGGCGTTGGGGGTGGTGGGATTGGAGAGAAAAGTAGAAAAGGAAAGCAATGATGGAAAAAAAGAGGTGAGACAATTTTTGTAGATCTGTCTTTGAAAATCTAGATTTTCAATAGGAATTTGTATTGCTGTTCTAGGTGATTAAGAACTAGCTCCCACATGACCAAGGGATACTTTCAAATGTTAACTAAGGAAATACTTAAATACGTGGCCTGCTCAAATTTACTTTCTAACTTCTTTCTTTTTTTAAAATAAGTGGTTTTTCTTTTTTAATCCTCACCCAAGGATATTTTTTTAATTGATTTTGAGAGAGAGAGGAAGGGGGAGAAAAACATCAATCGGTTGCTACCCATACATGCCCTGACTGGGAATCGAACTAGCGACCCCTCAGTGCATGGGAGGATACTCAGCCAACTGAACCACCCTGCCAGGGCATAACTTCATTTCTTGAAGGAAAAAAAGGTCACAAGTATTCAAATCTTACAAGTTTGTGAATTATTCTACCATACTACTAGGGAACAGAAGAAGACAAACTTCAGAGAGATGGTGTATTATCAAATTAGGAATGGAGGAAGGCTAAACAGTGCAGTGTTGTGCACTATTCTCCACTGAAGGAAAACAAGGCAGAGAAAACTGAACGTGTATAAGAACCTGGCACCAACCACCACCTCTCTCCAAAATGCAGAACCCCAAACACCTTAGAATTGTAGAGAATTCTACAATTCTCTGAAAGAATGGTCATAAGAAAAGGAGCAGAATCAATGACGCTGAGACGTCTCTGTAACAAACCTTCCATCTCCTCACCTGTATTGCAATCACACCTCCCAGGATCACACAGGCTAGGAGACATAGAATCTATCTTTATTGGAGGGCTAATAGAAGGACACCGCTGAAGCAATACTTTCAGGAGTGGGCATGTAGGTCCTCACCCTTTAATCTTTTAATCACTAGAAACTATTTCAACAAGTCATCCTCTCAACTCTGACATGGTTTAGATAACAGTGACACAGTTAACATTTAAAAATACTTGTAATCTCTTCAGGCATTTCATGTGGTATATTCCCTCTAAACATCTCAAATACTTGGTGGAAGCCAGGAAAGTAACTGTGTATCAAACTGTTCAAACTTTCTGTTCTGAAACTCTCTACTCCCTTGGCTCTAAATCCAACGCTATGACTATCTCCTCACCACCACCCCACAAGCTAATCGATTTCTCATAGTCTCTCAGATCAGTGCAGCCCAACCCTGTAAAGCCACAAGATCTTTTAAAAAAGAACTTTATGAGCACTGCTTCATCATCTTAATTAGCTGTGACTAAATTATTAGTGGTTAGTACATATTACAAAAAATAGTAAAATTATTTAATAGGATGTGAGGGAGGTAGAAAGGGTAGAATTTCACATAATAAAGAGGCAAGGTCTCTGAAAGTCTATAGATCAGTTTTGAGCAAATCTAGACAACAAATCTAGGCATGAAAGCTCATGCACTCTGGAAAAATAATTTAGCAGGTTACAACTTACCTTCTCAATCACTTTATTCCCACCAAAACGAGTAACAAATTCTGCTGGAGAAGCTACAGTGAAATCTCGCTGTGAGTCTATTTTCTTTCGGTCTCGACCTTGCTTGACTAGGTGCAAGCCAGACATACTGGATCTATAAAAATAAAGAAACCAGAAAAGTCTGTCAAGAGAATTTCTTCACACCATCTATCTCCCCTGGAGACCTGCTTTTCACTACCAAACTTAAACAGCACTTCCAACTAACTGCACTCTTGTGAAGGCTGCATGCAGGGAGACCACATACTTCTCAAAGAGAAGATAGGAGAAAAAATGATCTTTATGGAAATTCAAGAAAAAAATAACTGTTCCTGAATAATAAAAAATATTAAGGTTTACCAACAGACGCCATCACAAAGAGATATGCAAAGGTTTAAATGAAAAGAGATGGTATAAATAATAGACTCAGCTGTTAGAGCTAAAAACAATTAGCAAGGCTGTTTCTGTATCATGATTCTGGCATATGGATGGCCTTCACCTCTGTATCTCTACCCTCCATCTTTCTTATGAGCTATAACTCCACATTTTTAATTGCCTACTAAATGTTTTACTTGTGTATCCCATAGATGTTTCAAAACAAAATTATTTACAAGGCAGCAAAATATACCATATTTCATCAATTTTAAGATGCCCCTCCTTTTTTTAATTTTTAAAAAAATCTCTCAGTTCGGCTGACATGGCTCAGCATTGAGCATCAACCTATGATCCAGGAGATAACGGTTCAATTCCCAGTCAGGGCACATGCCCGGGTTGTGGGCTCCATCCCCAGTAGGGTACATGCAGGAGGCAGCCAATCAATGACTCTCTCATCACTGATGTTTCTCTGTCTTTCTCCCTCTCCCTTTCTCTCTCTGAATTCAATAAAGATTTTTTTTTTTTAAAAACTCTGAAATTGGTATCTTACAACTGATTGTATGATTTAATTGGCAGTATTTTTTTCCTCAGTGGTGCCTCTGTCAGTGGTGTTTTAGATTATATGAAATACAATTGTTGAAACTGCACAGACCAGATCTGTCTAATAGCTCCAATGAGCTTTAGCAAATAACTTAACCTTGCTCAGCTTCGGTTTTCTCTTCGTAAAGTACACACAGTACTCACTGTTCTAGTTATTTACCTATTGTCTCTCGGCTCCAAGCCCACTCTTTTACGCTCTGCTCTGTGAAAACAGGGCTAAGCCTCTACAAAACTGTTCAGTTCTGCCAATGGGAAGACAGAGGGGTAAAAAATTTCTTTCATGTTTTCCAGTTATTACCAGCATTGCTCCATAGTAACAGAGAGTTAACTCTAGCTTCTAGCATCTTTTGACAATCCTGGGAGGAACCCTGAGGCATTCTCTTAGAGGTACCAGGAGCAGCAGGTTGTGGCTCCTTGACAGTCAGTACCACCTTGCCATGCTCAGTCATCCTCTGGGCTACACTGCCTGGGCCTATCAGTCACCTGCCAGGCCAGGTCTCCTCCTCAGGGATCTGAGCACCAGCCATTCAAAGCTTACTCCCAGTGGTCTAAGCACCAGCCCCAGGGGCCCTCCTCCAAGCTCAGACCTCTTCCTTTCTTGTCCTCCCCGGACTATGGGTGGTAACTGCTTTCTATAGGTATTAACTCTGGGTTACCTCAGCATCCTTTTCTGTTCTTTAATTTTCTAACACCCAAGTAATCAATTCTCACTATTGAATGTCCTGTTTATTATAATACCCAATGCAGTTTCTCCTTCCTTGACTGGACCTTGATAGACCCTCTGAATGGGTGTTTTAAGGATTAAATGAGATAATACATACAAATAAGGTCCTTTATACACTGTTTAATAGAGAGCTATTTTCTTCTAGTCCTATCTTTTCCTCCTTTCTCCTACACTCTAATCTTGACACTATAGTAATTTAACTTTTTAAAATAAAAGAATATGATTAAAATACCAGGTCCAGATGGTGTTCAAAGGCAAATTCCATCAAACTTTCAAGGGCAGTAGTCTACCAAACTTCCAGACAATTACGACTCCCCAGCTAGAGTAACACTGATATCAAAACCAGACAAAGCTGTTACATGAAGTAAAAGTCCAGGTCCATTTTATTCATGACTACAAATGCAAAATTCCTAAACAAAATATTCTGAATAGTAGCATACTGGTGCAAGGATGGGCATATATTAGTAAAAAAATATGTTCCTCCATGACCAAGTTGAGTTTGTCCCAGGTATGCAAAGATGGTTTAATTTAACAAAATCCACAGATGTAAAAAACTGTGTTAGATTTCCTAACAAGTGCAATAAAATGGAAAAAAAAAACACCAAAAAAACCAGAGGCATTAGGATTGCAAAGAAGGAACTGTCATTATTTGGGAATGATATGATCATTTACATACAAAACACAGAAGATTGTGCAGACAAAATATCAGAAATAATAGGCATTAGTCAAGTGTCTAGATATATGATTAATATATAAGAAGTCCAAATATATACAGTAGACTATATACTGATTATAAAATTAAAAACAGATAATAAAGTTAAAAACTAAAATACACATACTTTTAAGAGATATGTATAGATACAATAAAACGATATAAACAGCAAAATAAAAGAATGTGATGAACATGCGATTAAGAAAATTGATTATCTGAGTGGGCGAAGGCAGGGAGAAGGCTTAGGGAGAGATTATATAATTAAATGTAGGTGAAGGCCAAGAACCTACCTTTGTTTTAAAAATTAAACAAAAGAATGTGGTGGGTTTCTAATTCTTTCTACATTATTTAAAAAAAATAACTAAATAACTAACCAAATAAATAAATAGTGGGCCACACATGGACCAATGAGTGTGTCATGGACAAATGATTACATAATTCTATACACCTAAAGTTAAACACACACACACACTCCTCAAAGGTCAGCATTCAGTTATTTAGGGAGGGAGTGAAGACATAGAGAGGATATAAACCTAGAACTAACAAGGAGCTGCTTGAGTATAACACAAAAAGGAAAGCAAAGTCTGTATTGATAAAAGGTGGAGGAGTCCTGGCCGGCATGGCTCAATTGGTTGGAAGTCGGCCCATGCACCAAGAGGTTGCTGGTTCAATTCTCGGTTGGGGCACATGCCTGAGTTGCTGGCTGGATCCCCGTGGGGAGCGTGCAGGATGCACACGATAGACTGATGTTCTACTCTCACATTGATGTTTCTCTTTCTCTCTCTCCCTTCCTCTCTCTCTAAAAATCAATAAAAAAAATGTTCTTTTAAAAAGGTGGAGAAAATTGGTCATTAGATTTAATCAATAGTTTTGAAATAGAAAGGACCTCAAAATCTTCACCTCTCACCTACCTTTTCTTGGGAAGCTATTAGAGAATGTCTTGTAAGAGAATGGAGAAAGCCAAGAAAAAGGAAGACAAGGGACGCAAGAAACAGAGGATCCAACACAGAGGGAAGGGAATTCCCTAGATGATTGTTCAAACTGGAAGACAGGCTGCTCCAGGAGGGATGCATTCTTAGAAAAAATATACAGATCACCGGTTGTATTTAACCACAGAAAAACAAAATAAAACTTTGTGTGTGTATATAACATATATAAAAATATATAAGTGTGTTTTCTTTATATCCATATATATATGCTTGTTTTACATATATAAAACAAAACAATGCTATACATATAAATATTTGTTCTATTAAGTGAGTTGCTTTTTACTTATTTGACTACCAGTGGAAGTTTTGCTTGGTTTTTCCCCAAAAGTGTAGAAGGGGTCAAGTGAAAGGGAAAAAAAGGATGACTGTTCTAAAGACTAATTTTACAAACTCAGTGATTTTTTCTGTTTTCTGTCTTTACCAAAGTCCAGTTTCATTTTCATATTTTTTTAATCCTCTCAAGATTGCAAAAACAAACAAACAAAGAAGATAACAGAGGGACACTTAAGTACTGTTACCAAGCAAATCATTCAGGTCTTCTATGTCAATCCTCTGCTGAAGAAAAAACCTGAAGGGGCCTGAAAAAGGCTAAGGCCTGACTCATTTCCTGCTCCTCCTGAGTTCTAATCGCAGGAAGAAGGAAGATCCCAGGGCAAGTGAGCTTGGCACCCTGACCAACTCCAGTTTAGCTGCCCACTGTCATGTGCCAGGACAAATGCAGCAGGTACCTTTCCTAGTGCCAGAGACACGTTCTAAAAAGTTTTCTTTAAAACTACTTTCAGCAGGGATGCTACATACTACGCAGAATCGATATCTACTTTCACAATAGTTGAAGAGACTTTACTGTTGAAAAACCAGCAAAATGCAGTGTGCAAACCTGGCACAGACTAAGATCCCTTAACGAAATAATAGCACAGCAAAATCTGCACAGGGGTGCTTGTTCTCAGGGTAACTACATCAACATACATGGGCTCAGGTGTCTTTGGTTCAAATTCTGCATGTAAAATATAGGTTGGGAATTCCAGAATATGAGGGGTTTTATTCATTTCCTTTAAAAAAAAAAAAAAAGATAGTTTCTTCGAGATACAAACCGTCATCAAATCAAATTTCACATAAATTTCAGGGCTTAACTGCAGTGCTTACTGTTTTTTAAAGGAATATATTGTCTAAATATGGCACCCTAAAACTTACCTTTGAAGCATGTAATATCTCATCTCTTTATTTTCCTCTGCAGAACCTCCATATCACAACAGCAAAGAAATGGAAGCTTTCTCTTCAGGTTGTGGCCTTGTAAACACAAGCCGCAGCTCGTCCTCCTGTTGCAGGTGCTTAAAACCCAGGAGGACAAGAGATACTGTGCCTTCTGCCTACTTCTTGGCCCTGCTTCAGTCAGACTAGAATATTCCTGATGGCCTCAAACGACAGTGTTTTTGTCCACTTTGTCCCCAATTTCCATATTTCCCTACATTTCCTCCTTTTTGAATTTTCTCCCTAAACTTGGCTCACACCTAGAATTAGCTGGTTTTCCAAAAGGATTGAGAGAAGAGGGGAAGAAATATAAAAGCTTGTTAAACGAGAAAACAGATCTTAGCAACTCTGCGTTAGCCGCGCAGCAAACATGTTTCAACAACGGTCACTTTCTTCTGACAGTCACCAGAGAAAAGCTCCACAGCCTATCCTGGCTGCCAGGAGCACATGACAGGGAGGGCCAGGGCAAA